GCAGCAACATAAAACTGATCAGCAGCTACATGAAACTGATCAGCAGCAACATGAAGTAGTTCAGCAGCAACATGAAACTGATCAGCAGCAACATGAAACTGATCAGCAGCAACATGAAATAGTTCAGCAGCAACATGAAACTGATCAGCAGCAGCATGAAACTGATCAGCAGCAACATGAAAAGGATCAGCAGCAACATGATGTGATTATTCTGGTTAGAGATTCATGAGTCTAACAGCCTCAGGGTAGAAGCTGTTCCTCAGTCTAGTGGTTCTACACTTAATGCTCCTCAACCTCCTTCCTGAGGGGAGTGGGGCAAAAAGTGTGTGTGCTGGGTGGGTGGGGTCCTTCATGATGCAGGTGGTCCTCTTCCTGCATCTGGAGGTGTAGATGTCTGTGATGGTGGGGAGACTGACTCCAACATCTTCTGTGCAGCCTTCACCACTCTCTGCAAAGCTTTTCTTTCTGCAGCTGTGCAGCCTCCATGCCACACGTTGATGCTGGAGCACAGGATGCTCTCCACTGCACACCTGTAGAAGGAGGTGAGGACTGAGCTTCCAGACCAGCTCGTCTCAGCCGTCTGAGGAAGTAGAGTCTCTGATGATCTTTCTTCATCAGGCTGGTGGTGTTGTTGCTCCAGCTGAGGTTGTTGTTCAGGTGCACACCCAAGTTCTTGTAGCTGGAGACCACTTCCACCACAGATCCTCTTATGTTCAGGGGGGTGTAGGTGTGTATAAGAGCAAAGTTGCTGTTCAGGGACTTTGTGAATTTCTGAAATATAGTTGCTGTTTTTTTACCAACTGTTCAAGCTCAGGTTAACAACCCTTCTTGACAATAAATCTAATGCTGTTGGAAAACCTGCTGCCAAATTATATGAAAATTCATTTTGTAGTTTGAGTTGAGTAAAAGAGCTGCACCCATACAGCTTGTTCTATTATTCACTCTTATTTGGTGTCTTTTATTGGATTGGATGATCAATGTCTTAAACAAAAGACATTGACAATTTACTAATTCATTAACTTAACATGCAGGGAAGTCAGTAGCATGTGGAAGAACCATACACAGCCACACAACCTGGTAGCACCTCCTCGTGCTGCTTGGCCATACTGCTTTGGGATGGCATCCTATGTTCAACAAGCAGCCAGTGAGCTGGTGCACCCCCAAGCTGACCTCACAGGTGTTTAATGGGCTTCAGGTCAGGACTGCAGGCAGACCAGTCCATCCTCTCCACTGGAACCCCACTCTGTGGGAGCAAGCACTGTCCTCTTGGAGGACAGTTTGGCCCCAGCCTGAGGAGGTGAGGTTGTCAATGACTGCAGAATCTTTTATATGAAACTGGGCCTTCAGTTTGGAGATGGTACCAGGACTCAGTCCAAACAAAGCTGCAGCTTGGTTTTTGTGGAACGCCAGCCTTTAGTTGCTTTCAGACACTGGTCTGCGGTCACAGGGTCCAGCTCCTGGGCTGAGAAGTTCAACACAATGGTCTGTAATAGAATCAACTGTGGGACAGGAATTTGGCAAGTTTGTTTTCCATGGGTGCAATCCACGAATGTATTTTCCTAACAAATTAAGCTCTATTTAGATTTTATTGCCAACAAGCATCGTTACAAGTAAACTCAAAAGTTTTATTTTTATAATCAAGATAGCATTTGCTTTTTGTTGAACATTTAACTTTTTTATTAGTCTGACATAATTTCAACTACTAGCACATAATAAATGTTTGGTGTTCTTGGGTACTTCCTGTGAGGACTTAAGGCAAATAAAGCACTTTATTTTGAAATAACGCAGGCCTGACTGGTGACCTTTTGACCTTTGGAGTCCCTTTTGACCAAGTCAGGAACCAACTGTGAAACCCAGGCTCACAGTATGATCAGCAGGGTGCCAGCTACAACTTATTTATATATAGTCAGTCCAAAAAAGTTCAATCTGGTCCTCTGGACATTCAAAAAAACAAAACAAAGCAAAAAAATGTAGAAACGTTTCGTCTCTCATCCAAAGGACTTCCTCAGTCTCAGTTTCTCTGATACTCCCTCAACATACGTATGTTGAGGGAGTATCAGAGAAACTGAGACGTTTATTTTCTAAACATAACGTCCCAGTGGCTTTTAAACCCCAAAATACATTAGACTGGTTCATCCCAAAGATCCAGTCCCCCGGCACAAACAGAGTAATGTTGTGTATGTTGTTCAGTGTCAGGAGGGTGATCAGTCTTACATCGGGGAAACTAAACAGCCACTGACCAAAAGGATGGACCAGCACAGAAGATCAACATCATCAGGCCAGGACTCTGAGGTCTACACTCATCTCCAGACCAGAGGTCACTCTTTCAGGGATGAAGATGTTCACATCCTGGACAGAGAGGAACGATGGTTTGAGAGAGGAGTAAAGGAGGCCATCTTTGTGAAAAGAAACCGTCCATCATTAAACAGGGGTGGAGCCTCCAGGTTCAACTGTCCCCCTCTTACAATGCTGTGATTGCTAGTATCACTCAGCCCTCTGTGAACAGTAAACAGCCATCAGGTGCTAATGATCCATTGTTAGGCTGATGGTCCTTCTTGAGCATGTGATCAGCTGGTTCTGGTTGTCAGCAGCAAACTGGTTGATCCACTCTGAGAAGGTGCTATTTAAGAGACTGAGCTGAAAACAGCTCCTCAGACTGAGGAAGTCCTCAGGATGAGAGACGAAACGTTTCTAGATTTTTTTGCTTTGTTTTGTTTTTTTTGAATGTCCAGAGGACCAGATTGAACTTTTTTTGATTTTTCTACCTGGATTATTGAGCAGCATCAGGATAAATATAGTCAGATTTGTTCCACCGCAAACTTGTCCTAAACACCAATAAAACCAAAGGGATGCTTTTTTTCAAACAGGAAGTCGATCCCAGCAGTTTCTCCTCTACATCCTCAAATTCTTTCATTCAACCTTTATTTCTACAGGTAAATCCCATTGAGCCTCGAGGACTCATTTACAAGAGAGACCTGATTTAACAAAGAAAGATGAAACAATGGACAACAGCAACAACAATAAACAGTTATAAAAAGTCATACTGCAGTTTTTTTTTTTTTTACAAATAGGATGGCTAAAAGAAAAAGGTAACAAAAAAACAGCTAGATTCTAAGGCGAATGTAGAAAACTAAAAACAGGAACATGTCAGCATTGGTCCCTGCCAGGAGTCCAACAGATTCTTAAAGACACTTAGAGAGGTCAAAGGTCGAGAGCTTCAGATCTTTAAGTAAAATATTCCAGGAAACAGGAGCGGAGCAGGAGAAGGTCCTTTAGTCTAGTTCAGTCCTCACTGAGGGAACACTGCAGGTAATGATGTCCTGAGAGCGCACGCTGTAGCTGCACTCACACAGAGACATGTAGGAGGAGATGTATGAAGGCAGCAGACCAAAATGGTGTCCCCATTGAGTTTGTTGATTCCTATAAATATTTGTGTATCTTAGTCGACTCACATCTCTCTTTTAAGCTCCATGTGGAAAACTTGGTAAAGAAACTGAAAGTTAAACTGGGTTTCTTTTTCAGAAACAGATCCTGTCTAACTCTGAACCCTGAGGAACGCCTTGTATCTGGGACTTTCCTTCCCTCAATTGATTACGGTGACATTATTTACATGAACGCTCCTACAAGAACCCTGCAGATGTTGGATGCTGCAGATGTTGGATGCTGCAGATGTTGGATGCTGCAGATGTTGGATGCTGTCTATCATGGTGCACTAAGATTCATAACTGGCTGTGATTATCGTACCCACCACTGCACCCAGTATCCACTGGTTAACTGGTCACCATTAACTTCACGCAGACTCTCCCACTTCTACATCTTCATCTTTAAATCACTTCCTGGTCTGCTGCCTTCATACATCTCCTCCTACATGTCTCTGTGTGAGTGCAGCTACAGCGTGCGCTCTCAGGACATCATTACCTGCAGTGTTCCCTCAGTGAGGACTGAACTAGACAAAAGGACCTTCTCCTACTCCGCTCCTGTTTCCTGGAATATCTTGTAAAAACATCTGAAGCTCTCGACCTTTGACCTCTCTAAGTGGTTTCAAACATCTGATAAGTTCCTGCAGATGTTCCTGTTTTTAGTTTTCTACACCGCCTTAGAATCTAACTGTTTTTGTTACTTTTTTGCCATCTTATTTGTATAAAAATAAATAAATAAATCTTTATGCTTTTTTATAACTGTTTATTGTTGTTGCTGTCCATTGTTTCATCTTTCTTTGTTAAATCAGGTCTCTCTTGTAAATGAGTCCTCGAGGCTCAATGGGATTTACCTGTAGAAATAAAGGTTGAATGAAAAGAAAATGGATCTGGACCACTCATCCTTTTAACCTAAAATTGTGTCAGAACCTGATTCTGAATCAGAATCTGGTTCTGGTTCCTTTGCTGGTTTCAGAAATTCTGTGTGGTTTCAGGATGATGTCACCGGAGTGCAGATCAAACTGGAGCCAGACGATGATGTAGAGATCTGCTCGTATCCTGTCCTGAAGAAGCTGTCCGTCAAACTGACTGACTGCAGGGTGTGGCTGGAGGGGCAGGACTTCCTGTCCCTGGGTGAGTTTCAGAGTAAATGTTGATATAAAACTCTTTGTTCGTCTATCAACCCATTTGAAAGCTGTTCTTTAAGACTCTGGATCCATTTTTGTGTGGTTCTGTGGTTAGACCAGCTAACCTCAGACCAGCTCAGATCCAGTCTGGTTGTGTCTGGGTCAGGCCTGAGCTAACGTGACCTTTGACCTCTGCTCCTCCAGGTAATCGCCCTCAGCTCTGTAACTTGCGGAGTGCCACCAACAGTGGCAGAAAGATGGCGTACTGTCCTGAGTGTCATAAGGGGTTCTACAAGGAGGCCCACCTCGAGGCCCACCTGCGAACCCACCAAGGACAGAAACCCAACGAATGCTGGTGCTGCGGAAAGACCTACCCGAATCTGATGAGCCTGGTGCTGCACCAGCAGGTCCACAACCGCAGTGAGCCATACCACTGCCATTACTGCAACAAGACCTTTGCACTGAAACGGGACTGGAAGACCCACCACCGAACCCACTCTGGGACAAAACCCTTCAAGTGCTGGTTCTGTGGGGATGGATTCATTGAGCAGGAGCAGCTCAGCGAGCACCTGGAGGTGCACAAGGAGGAGAAGTGCTACCACTGCACAGTCTGTAACAAAATGTTTGTGTCCTATCAGGGCTTCAACTTCCACCGGAATTCCCACAAGAACCCAAAACCGCTGCCATGCTCCAAATGCTCCAAGAGCTTCAGCAACCCCCAGAGCCTGAAGGTACACCAGGTGACCCACTCCAACACGAAGCCACACACCTGTTCCATCTGTGGAAAGAGCTTCAAGCTTCAGAGCAGCCTACGCTGCCACGAGCGCACCCACGAGAACCTGAAAGAGTACCGCTGCACTGAGTGCGGCAAGTGTTTCTCCAGTCTGCAGGGCCTGAAGCTGCATGACCGTACCCACACTGGCCTCAAGCCCTACAGGTGCTCCGAGTGCGGCAAGAGGTTCACACAGTCTCCCCACCTCAAGGCGCACATGGTAACCCACACCGGAGAGAGGCCCTTCCTCTGCACTACCTGTGGTAAGAGGTTCACCCAGTCCTCCCACCTTAAGTCCCACATCACCTTGTTCCACGTGGGCGAGAAGCCTTTCTGTTGCAATGATTGTGGGAAGACATTCTCTATCGCCCATTATCTGAAGATGCACCGGCTTAGCCACACCAAGGAGAAGCATTACCAGTGCTCGTACTGCCAGAAGTCCTTCTCCTACCACAACTCATGGAGGGCGCATGAGAGGATTCACACCGGTGAGAAGCCCTTTGTCTGTCGTGACTGCGGCCGCTGCTTCACCACGTCGGGCTCACTGCTAAGCCACCAAAGGGCCAGACACACTGGAGAGCGGAGCCACTACTGCATCACCTGTGGCGAGTTCTTCTTGACCAGCTCCCAGTTGCGTGTGCACCAGCTAGACCACACTGGAGAGCGGCCGCATGCCTGCAGCTGTGGCAAGACCTTCAAAACCAAAGGAGTGCTCCGTTTCCACTTGAAGAGGTTCACCGAGCATCAACCCGCCGAGTGAGCGCTGTGCTGGGTGGTGGAGACTGAGCTTAAACCCTGCCTCAGACAGCTGCAGAGCTCTGTGGACAGGACCTGCTTCCAACCAGACTGCAGTCAGAAGACTGGAGTCAGACCGGCATCGCTGTCCTGATGGCTCTTCCTGCTGTTCACTGACCAACAAACAGAGAGCAGCAGGCAGTTGTTATTAGACACACTACAGTATTCAAGAAATGTCCTGACAATAAGACTGAGCTGAGACTGAGCTGGGAACAAACTAGGACCAAGCTGAGACCGAACTGAGACTGAACTGAGACCGAGCTGAGACGAGCTGAGACTGAACTGAGACCGAGCTGAGACCGAGCTGAGACGAGCTGAGACTGAACTGAGACTGAACTGAGACCGAGCTGAGACGAGCTGAGACTGAACTGAGACCGAGCTGAGACCCCACTGAGACCGAGCTGAGACCCCACTGAGACCCCACTGAGACCGAACTGAGACTGAACTGAGACGAGCTGAGACTGAACTGAGACCGAGCTGAGACGAGCTGAGACCGAGCTGAGACCCCACTGAGACCGAACTAATACTGAACTGAGACTGAGCTGGGACTGAACTGAGACCGAGCTGAGACTGAACTGAGACGAGCTGGGACCGAACTGAGACTGAACTGGGACTGGAAGTGAGACTTCAAGGTTCTTTGTTGTCATTTACATCTAGGGCTGGGTATCGTTCAAAAATTTCGGTACCGGTACCTTCACTTCTATGTCGGTTCCTGAACAGTACTTTTTCCTATACCAATTTTATAATTAACATAAATTCTAACAAAAAGAAAATTACGTTACACATTACAGTACAAATCTTGAGTTTTATTTTTTAACTTTGGTATTTTTCTGTTCCAAGCAGTTTTTTTTTTTACATAAAAATAAACAAATAATTTCCAGTTCAAAGACCAGTTTCAAACCAGTGTCACGCCAGTGTCTAATGGTCACTGCTTCACACTGAGGACCTTTTCACTGAACAGTTCTTCTTCAGAAACATCAACATGTCTGTTTTCTGTGGACACAAACCAGCTGCTCCTGGCTGACGGTGTCTCCAGCAGTAGATGTTCACTCTGAGGCTGTAGATGATGATTGTTGCACACACAGATACCTGGTTGTCAGTTTGACATAGTGTCCCTCACATCCCACCAGCAGGTCTCTGGATTCACTGAGGTTAGAGTTGAAGTTGATGCAGATTCTGCTCCTCTGTGTCTCTGCCTGAATCTTCTCTGGGGTTCAGGGCTCTGATCATCTCCCTAACTGACATGAGAACAAAACATCAACAACAACATGGTTGATTTATTATTGATCAAAAACATAATCTAGGCTGAGAGATAAAAGTTTAACTGGTCAACAACTTCCTTTACAGCTTACTTACCTCCACCATGCAGCCTCCACTGTAGAAAAAACAGCAAACTTTTAACAACAAAGTTTGTGACTGTCCTGTCTCCCCCCCCCCCCAACACACACACACACCTCACTTTTCTTGTGTCATTTTTCCTTTTGTTCTCGATTTTTGTTGACAGGGGGAACGGAGACATGTCTGAGTGCAGCTTGTACCAACAGTTTTTGAATTGGGGGGGGGGGGGTGTTCAGCATGAGGGAAGAGGCACCTTTAGCTATTGTGCGCTGGTAGCTTAGCGTGACACGTTTGAGTTGTGCACTATTTATACAGACAGTTTTTGAGTGTGTGTTGGGAGGAGGGTTCATCTTGAGAGAAGAGACAACGTGAGTGCGCCCTTTAGCTTTTTTGCTAGAGAGCCTGTATTTCTCACCGCTAGCTTAGTGCTATGTCAGTGCCGGATGGGGGGAGGGGGCAAGTTCGGTTTGGTAGGCGGTGTGCTCAGTTCTGTTGACTGGGTGGTGCACTAAGCGGAAACATTGAGCTGGCCCAATGGATGAGCGCATTAAAGGGCGGCTGTGGCTGAGTGGTTAGAGCAGTCATCCCCCAATGCAAGAGTTGGGGGTTCAAATCCACCAGCAGTCACATGCCGAAGTGTCCTTGGGCAAGACACTGAACCCCTCATTGCCTCCGATGTGTGTCCCATCGGTGTATGAATGTGATAAAGCTCTGATTAGTCTTTTGTAGAATGATTTGTTCAATTAGCTTTGTAGAGATCTAATAAAGTGCTGTATGAATGGGTCAATGAGGCACAGATTGTGTAAAATGCTTTGAGTGTCTTGATAAGATAGAAAGGTGCTATATAAGTACAGTCCATTTGCAATTTACAATTTTACAAGCTAAGCTTTATCTGTTACTGTCAATCTTTAGCTTCTGAGTTTAGCTAGCTACATAGATATCCATAAAATAAAGCTACACACTAATATCTTAAAGTTAGCGTTACATGGATCCTAGTTTAATTCACCGTGATGCACGTATTAAGCTGCAGTAACATTAACAAACGTAAACTTACCAGCTGAAATCCCAGACATAGCTCCGTCCTCGGTGCAAACAGAGTCCAGTCATGAAGATTTTGAATCGGGCCATTCAGTCGCTGTAACACCCACAGGCTGACTTAAATGCTGAAGAGGATGGCTGCGGACCGCTCTTCTTGCAGTCAAACACGGAGCAATTTTACGCTCTTAAGTTGATTCAGTGCACCGTCAGGTGCTTGCCTTAGAAATCACGTGAACCCCGTCTGTGGGAGTAACCACATATGTGTTATTCCTGTTTTTTCCTGAGTTGCAGCGCTGTCATTAATTGTAACTTTACATGCGGATGAAACCACGTGTAACGTTACAGCCAATCATCGAAACTTGACACGAAAAACAAGGCATATTTTGATACTTATACCGTCGGTACCATTAAAGAACCGAAGTTCAGTACTCAGCCCTAGTGAGGACTGAGCTTCTCAGACCAGCTCGCCTCAGCCGCCTGAGGAAGTAGAGTCTCTGATGAGCTTTCTTCATCAGGCTGGTGGTGTTGTTGCTCCAGCTGAGGTTGTTGTTCATGTGCACACCCAAGACCCAAGTACTTGTAGCTAGAGACTACTTCCACTTGGGGTGGTGGTGGTGGGGGTGTTGTTCCTTCTGAAATCCACAATCATCTCCTTCGTCTTCTTCACATTGATGTGGTGGTTGTTCTTCTGGCACCAGCTCTCCAGGTGTTCCACCTTCTGCCTGTAGTTGGACTCATCATCGTTTGTGATGCATCCTACCTCCGCTGTATCTGCAAACTTTACAATATGACAGCCTGGATGGGTAGGTGCGCAGTCACATGTGAGCTGAGTGAACAGGAGGGGGCTCATCACACACCCCTGGGGGGAGCCAGTGCTGAGGGTTATGGTGGAGGAGAAGTTGTGGATCTTCACAGACTGCAGTCTGTTAAGAAGTTCAGGACTCAGTTGTATATGGAGGGGCTTAGTCCTAGTGTGAGTAGTTTGTTCGTCATGGTCTGGGGAATCATGGTGTTGAAGGCAGATGTGAAGTCTGCACAGAGCATATGGATGTAGTAGTCCTTTTGCTAGATGTGCAGCGCTTCTCATGCTCCTGGAATTAAGCCTTATTTTAATTATTTTAATAACTATGAGGCTGTTTTAGGCACTAGTTCAGTGTTAAATTCACAACTCAATTATAGCTTAACCAAACTGATGGCCATCAGAGACAGTTCGGTTATTAATATATCACCAAAGCTGAAATCCGCACTCAGCAGACAGCGACTCCTGAGGACAACTGAATAGTGCAGCAAAGTGCGAGGAGCAACGGTCAAGAGGAAACGATGTGCTCAGAAACAGAAGAGGGGGAAGCAAACAGGAGAGTGTGTTGGCTCAGCTAAAGGCTAGAAGACCACCGATTCTTACTGTCTTTGTTTGCCAATGTCCGCTCGCTGGTTAACAAAGTGGACTTGCAACATCTGAGGATGAATGTTTCTACAGAGATGAAGAACTGTGCTTTTCTTTGCATAACGGAAACCAGGCTTAACAACAACATGCCATACTCAGTTTTCCAGATCACAGTCTTCAGTTATTCTGAGCATACTGTGACCATCGGTCAAGTAAAACACAGCTAATGCTAATGAAGCTTCAAAGGAGCTGTATGACACCATTAGCTCACTGCAGATAAAGCACCCGGAGGCGTTTTACGTAATTGTGGGCAATTTTAACCACATGAAACTGACGGACACTGCCCAGTTTTTACCAGCATGTCACCTTTCCTACATGAGGACACAACACTGGACTGTGTGTACACTAACTTTAGTGGTGCTTACAGAGCTCTTCCTCCTCCTTCCATCTTGGCCTCTCCAACCACATCTCAATCCTGCTGGCGACAGCATATCGTCCGCTGATGAGACGGATTAGGCCAACAAAGAAGACAGTCACTGTGTGGCCCAGGGATGTAGCCTCTGTGCTCCAGGACTGTTTTCAGTGCACAGATTGGCAGGTCTTCATAGAGATGGCTACATATGAGGGAGAGATGGAATACACCTCCTCTGTTCTTGGCTTCATTTCCAAGTGTGCTTATGATGTCATTATCACCAGAACTATCACCTGTTATCCGAAGCAGAAACCCTGGCTGAATGCTGAGGTGAGAGCTCTGCTGAAAGCTAGGGATGCTGAGTTCAGGACAGGTGAGACATCAGCACTCCAAGAGGCAAGGAAAAGACGGATTGCAGGCATTGCAAGAGCCAAAGCCACATATGCCCAGAAAATTCAGGGTCACTTCATCACCATCGATCCCCGGCACAAGTGGAAGGGCATCAAGTGCATTATGAACTACAACAGCAGGGATGCACACTGCCCAAGAGACCCCTCATTGCCAGTTGCACTCAATAAGTTCTATGCTTACTTTGAGGATCCTAACACCTCCCCCACCACCAGACTTATACCACCACTCTGTGACACGCCTCTCTGTGTGACCTCAGCAGACGTGAGGAAGACCTTCCAGGGAATCAACCCCATTAAGGCTGCAGGCCCCGACAACATCCCAGGGCGGATACTGAAGGACTGTGCACACCAGCTGTCTGAGGTGTTGGCAGACATCTTCAGCACTTCGCTGTCAATGGCAGTTGTCCCCACCTGCTTTAAGTCCACCACTATTGTTCCTGCACCCAAGTGCTCCACAGTGACAGGCCTGAATGACTACCGGCCTATAGCCTTAACATCAGTAGTCATGAAGTGCTTAAGAGGCTGGTCATGACCCACATCAAGGACTCCATCCATATCACTGTCACTGTCCCCCACATCAGTACGCCTACAGAAGGAACCGCTTCACTGCTGACGCCATCTCATCGGTGGTCCACACAGCCCTCACCCACCTGGAGAGCAGAAATTCTTACATTAGTCTGCTTTTTTAGGATTTCTTCTCGGCCTTCAACACCATCATCCCACAGACCCTGGTGCAAAAGCTCTCCTTTTTTGGACTGAGTCCCACACTGGGGAACTGGATTCTGGACTTCCTGACCAACAGACCTCAGACTGTCAGGATCCACAATATCATCTCCTCCTCTATTGCCCTCAGCACTGGCTCGCCCCAGGGCTGTGTGCTGAGCCCCCTGCTGGTCACTCTGCTGACATATGACTGCTCAGCTAGACACCCCAGCAGCCATATAGTGAAGTTTGCAGACAACACAGCAGTAGTGGGACGCATCACGAACAATAATGAGTCCAAATACAGAGAGGAGGTGGAACACCTGGTGCAGTGGTGCATAGACAATAATCTGCATCATTGTGAAGAAGACCAAGGAGATGGTGGTGAATTAATTTCAGAAGGGACAAGGATCCTCTTCATCCCCTACGCATCAGAGGAGGAGCTGTGGAGGTGGTCTCCTACTACAGGTACCTGGGGGTGCATATATCCAGTGACCTCACCTGGAGAGCCAACACTTGCTGTCTGATCAAGAAGGCCCACGTCTCTACTTCCTCAGGAAGCTGTGTAGAGTTGGACTTGGGAGCTCTGTCCTGAGACGCTTCTATTCCTGTGTGATGGAGAACATTCTCTGCACCTGCATCACCGTGTGGCACGTGTGCACTGCTGCTTAGAGGCTGGCTCTGCAGTGGGTGGTTAAGGCTGCATAGAAAACTGTGGGGAGCAGTCTTCCCACCACCTCAGACCACTACACTACATGATGCAGGGGGAGGGTGCTCTGCATCATGAAGGACTCCACTCATCCTGCACACAGTCTGTTCCAGCTCCTTCCTCAAGCAGGTGGCTGAGGAGCATTCAGAGCAAGACCACCAGGCTCAGAAACAGTTTCTTCCCTGCAGTTATCAGACTGCTGAACTCGAGCTGCACTTAATTCAGCTTCATCTTACATTTTTTTAACTTTCATATATATATAAATACACACACACACATATATATATATATATATATATATATATATATATA